GGATTGTGGCTGGGCCATCCCCCCAGAAGGTGATTTCTTGCTTTCTGTCTCTCTGTCCCTCTCTGTCTTTCTGGTGAGTGCACATGCCCTACAGCAAAAACCTCTCCAAAAATTAAAAAATTTTTTGCCTTCTTCCTATGACCTACTCCTGACCCTTCTGTCCTATTTCCTGTCCATTGTATGTGCTACTTTTCCTTTTACCCTGTTGAATTCCTCCTTCATCCTCTTTAGTTTCTCCTTCTTCAGCCCGAATTGTCTAGTTCATCCTTCATACCCACTTCCCACAGGTGCAGACCCACCTGCAAGTGATTGAGGAAAGGATGAATCAAAGCCTGGGCCTGCTTGACCAGAATCCTCGCCTAGCTCAGGAGCTGCAGCCCCAGATCCGTGAGTGCCTGTTAACTCCGCAAACATTCCAGATCTCTGAGGGCAGAAATTGACTCCCACGTTTTGACACACACACACACCCCACTTCACTTTCTGTTTTCTATTACTGGTTAACAAACCACTCCAGAATTTAAATCCATGACAGTTTTCTTTGTTCATGATTCTGCCATCCGGTCTGGGTTCAGCTGGGTGGTTCTTCTGGTGATCTTGCCAATAGTCAAGAATACAGTTGCAGTTAGCTAGCAGACCCTCTGGGGCCTGGAACTCTGGCAAATGCGCCTCTTTGTTCTTCAGACCCTGCTTTCACCTCTCTCCCTCTCCAAGTAGGCTCAGGACCTCTCTTCATGGAGCCTCTCCTTGTGGCCTTCCCAGTAGGATAGCTGGACTTCCTACATGGAGGTTCAGGCTCTCCTTAGCACAAAAATGGAAGGTTCCAGGTCTTCTTAAGTCTTGGGCCCACATTCTGTTGGGCAGGGCAAGTTAAACCCAGTCCAGATTCCAGAGGAGAGACCTTGACACAAAAGCATGAATACCAGAGAATGTGACCTACCACTGCCCCAGATCTATTGTGACTTCCTCCTGGATATCCCACACTTATCCCCAATTCTGATGTTTCGGGAGGCTGTGTTCTTGAAATGACAACGTCTGGGCCAGCAGGTGATGCGGTTAAAGGTGCTAGATTCCCACATGGCCGACCCTGGTTCAAGTCCTAGACTTAGCGGCTTGAAAATCACAACAAACAAATAAATGTGGGTTTTTTGTTTTATTTTGTTTTGTTTGTTTGTTTGTTTGTTTCAAATGACAATATCTATCCTCCCTGCCAGGAGCACCTCCAATCATTCCCCGTCCCCCACTTTCCCAGATCATGTTTACATTTTCTTCATACTTGGGGCTGATTCTGCTGTCTGCAGGATCTCTTAGTCACTCCACGGTTAGGGTGACCTTTGCCCTCCCAGTTGTGTTTTACAGCGTCCCTGTGCTCACCCTCTTAGCCACCTTTCTTCATGTTCCCCTCAGAGGAGCTACTCCGCTCTGAACATCTGGGCCCCAATGAATTGGAAGCTCCTGCCTCGGGGGGCAGCAGTGAGGACAAAGGTGGGCTGCAGCCACCAGATTCCAAGGATGGTGAGTGAACCTAAATACTGATAACCCCAGACTTTGGGGAACAGACCCCCCCAGCCTCATTTCTGACCACCTAACATGGGGGGCGTCTTAGTACCACAATCAGTGGAGCAGATGGGGAGGAATGTCTAGGGCTGTGGAATATCTGTGGGATCCTTCATCCTCCTTCCTTGGGCCCTGGGAGGGGTTTCCCTCCCTTTTCCTGATGGTACCGTCTTCTCTTCACCATCCCATCTGCCCTGCCCCTCTGGCTGCCAGCAGACACGCCCATGACCCTTCCAAAAGGTGAGTGTCTCACAAAGTGGACCCTGGCTACTAGAAACCACTGAGTCCCTGAGTCCAAAACGGAAAAGGGTCCATATATGGAGAATTCCAGATTTCTTGGGGTGGATTCCAGTGCCCTTTCTGACCCCTTCCTCAGGTGGGGGATAGCACCCTCCCTGGGTCCTCAAAAATGAGATAGAACTTGTGGGGGAAGGGTCCACAGAACAAGAAGCTGCGTCTCCTGGGAAAGAGAAGATGTCCCCCCTGGAGCAGTATGAGCAGAAGGTATGTGGGTTAAACCCATGGGCCCCCAAGGGAAAATGAGGGGGGCTAGACTCCTGGGTCTGAGGGAGGAAGATGCTGGAGTGTGGGTTCTTTGGCTTAAGGGATGATGGGGCTGAGGACATGGATTTGGGGGGCTGCCCCTGTGGGCTCTGGGGCTGCAAGGGGCCAGGCCCAGAAATCTTGGATCCATAACACCCCCTGCTCCCCCAGGTGAATGCATCTGTTCCAAGGGGCTTTCCTTTCCATTCATCAGAGATTCAGAGAGATGAGCTGGTAAGAGGAGGAATATCCTGGGTCTCTAGGGGAAGAAATCAGAGGTTGGTGGCTGAGCTGTGACTCCAAAAGCCACACAAGACCCTAGTGAGCCTGGAACATGCCCTCTAGCCTGTTTTCTTTCCCCGTAGGCGCCAGCGGGTACAGGCGTGTCCCGTGAGGCTGTGTCGGGTCTGCTGATCATGGGAGCGGGAGGGGGCTCGCTCATCGTCCTCTCCATGCTGCTCCTGCGCAAGAAGAAGCCCTATGGGGCCATCAGCCACGGAGTGGTGGAGGTGAGCCAGGCACAGTAAGATGGGGGCCCAAAGCTAGGGCAAGCATGATTGGTGAGGTCTGCCATCAGCTCCTAGACTCACTACCCGTCCCTGCCCCTGCTGTAGGTGGACCCTATGCTGACCCTGGAGGAGCAGCAGCTCCGTGAACTGCAGCGGCATGGCTACGAGAACCCCACCTACCGCTTCCTGGAGGAACGACCCTGAACCTACCCCTTCATCTTCGCCCAGACCCGCCCTCTTCCTGGAGCCTCCCAGCTTAGGCTGGGAGGTGGTCTTGGAAAGTTCATTTCACACCCTTTGTGAGAGGGCTGGAAATTCTTATTTCCGCTTCTAATTCCAAATTCCATCCCCAAGAAATCCCCAGTTGTTCCCAGCTGCCTCCCGACTTGGGACCTCCTCACCTTAATTTATTTTGCAAGGCGACCTGAAGGTGCTCCTTAAGGTGACTGCCACCTTGGTCCCAGTGTCTGTTGTTCACCCTCCCACGTTTCCCCACTAACATCCCAATAAAGTCTTCTTCCCCACCAGGCTATCCTGTATCTCTGTGGGAGATCAGTGTGTAATCACTGGAGGACGCGGGTGTCCGTCTCTGCCCAGACTTCCTTCACCTCTTTGAATTGGCTGAGGGCTCTTTAAATCTGGGCGGGGCCTGTGGGAAGGGCCAGCGCACCGGGGGCGGGGTCCAGAGAGCTTGCCTCCGCCCTCCGCGCCTACCCGGGAGCTATCCGTGGTGCTGATCTGGCCAAGGCTTCTAGGGTTCTTGTCCGCGGGGTCATCAGGGGGACCCCAAGGACACCGGTCTCTGGCGAGTTTCTCATGCCTCTTACTCACCCTCGCACACAATCGCGCGCTGCATCCATATCACCCTACGACCCCTATGAAGGGCTGGGACTCTTTCTCTTCATCCCCCAGGCGATTGCAATCCCTTCTCCTTCAATCTTTTCTTGGGGTTTTGATCACGCACTCACATGTGCCCTGTTTTAAGCTACCAGGTCCGAGACTCGAACTGCGGTCATTCTGTGGGAGTCCAGCGATGTAACCATTAGGGCATCCACTGGTCCCTGTTTTTTTCCTTTCTTCTTCTCTTCTTCTTCTTTTCTTTCTCTTTCTCCTTCTTAAAGGTTTTTGCCTCTCTGAAGAGATTGGCCATGAGAGGGAAAGTGACAAATGGCCCCAGTGAAATCCCTTCTCCTCCATTGTCCTCCTCGAATTTGGGGAATGCATGCACATGTGTCCAGCCTGATTTTCAAGCCTCTGGGTCCAGGACTTGAACCGTGGTCAACAACATGGGAACCCAGCACCTTAACCACCATACCACCTGCTAGCCCCTTTCTTTCTTTCTTTCCTTCCTTCCTTCTTTCTTTCTCTTTCTTTCTTTTTCTTTCTTTCCTCCTTTCTTTTTTTCTTTTTTTAAAGTTTGCCCATTTATTTCTTCCACGAGAGAGGACAGACAGATGGGCACCCCCAACAAGGTTCTCACATGGTCCACTCCCAACCTCAGCCATCCCCGATCACAGGCACACATGTGAGCTTGGTGTGTACAGAGAGGTCCTGGGACATTAATTCCAGCCCTTCCCATGTGGGTCCAGCATCTCAGAGCATTTAATCACAGCTGTGCCTATCCAGCCATGGACTGGGAATCTTGAATCACATTTCCTATTTCCAAAGGTCTTCAGTCCTTCTTAGGGAGTCCATAGGAATCCCCCTGGGATGTGGGCTTTCCAGTCACATGACCAAGAGAGGAATACATGATGTCTGTAAGTACCTGTTGGGATTTACACCCTCACATTTCTCATTTGGTGATGTGTGGGAGGTAGCCCTCGACATATGCTGTTACCTCTCCCACGAGGGTTGTTATGAGGATTAAAAGGGTTAATATTTATGGAGATGTTATCATTGTGGCTGCTACCTAGCAAGTAATTTGTTAAATAAATTTTAAGTCCTTATGGCAGCACACACTCCTATGACACTCTGCCAGGCACTGCTTCAATGGCTTTCCATACCTTGGCACGCTTAATCATGACTTTCACCCTATGGAGTTGGTACAGTAGCCCCCCTTTTCAGGGGAACATATATTCCAAAACCCTCAGTGGATACCTGAAATCCAGGATAGTACCCAACCCTATATATACTTCTTCCTTATACATATATACCTATAATAAAGTTAAGTTTATAAATTAGACACATTAAGAGATGAACAATAGGGACCAGCAGTTAGCATAATGGCTATGTCTCTGGACTCCCACATAGTCGACCGTGGTTCGCGTCCCGGACCCAGTGGCTTAAACTCACGCCAGGCATGTGTGCGTGCGTGCCCAAGATCCCGAGAGGAGAAGGGATTGCGGCATGGCTATCCCCCCTAGGGGGTGATTTTTCACTTTCTGTCTCTCTGTCTCTCTCTGTCTGTCTGGCAAGCGCACGTGCCCTATAGCAAAAACCTCTCCAAATAAATAAATAAATAAATAAATAAATAAAGAGATGAACAATAATAGGGACCAGCAGATGGCATAATGGTTACAACCCTGAACTCCCACATAATCGAGCATGGTTCAAATCCCAACCTGGTGACTTAAAACTCACGCCAGGCGTGTGTGCATGCATGCCCAAAATCCCAAGAGGAGAATGGAAGAGACGGGATTGTGGCATGGCCGTCCCCCACTGAGGAGTGATATATTACTTTCTGTTTCTCTGGTGAGCACATGCACCCTATTGGAAAAAAAAATCTCTCAAAAAAAGAGAGATGAACAACAATAATCAAACAGAACTGGGCCAGTCTGTAGCATAATGGTCGAGGGAGCCGGACCCCACATGGCAGACCAAGGCTCAAATCTCAACCTTGGCACTTGTGTGCCTCAAGTCCTAATGGGATGGAGAAATGGAGAAGGGACTGCAGCATGGCCAGGCCCACTGAGAGATGCTTTCTCCTCTCTCTAGTAAGCACACATGTCCTCTGGCAATTAAAGAAAAAAATTATTATAATGATATGTCAGCATCATTTTCTTGCACTTCAGGACCATCAATAAGTAGAATAAGAGTTACTTGAACACAAATGCCATAGCAGTCGATTTAGTTGAGACGGCTAGTAATGGTCAGATGGTGTAAAGACTAGACACCCCGAACAAAGGGTTAATTCATGCCCTGGGTGAGACTGACTGGGACAATGTGGGGTTTCATCACACTGCTCAGAACGTGCACAATTTAATACCTTTATTTTGGAATTTTCCACTTGATATTTTTGGATCATGGTTGACCTCAGATAACTGAAACCGCAAAAAGCAAAACTGTGAATAAGGGGCATTGGAGTACTATGACTCTCCTCATCTATAGATTAGAAAACAGAGGGGCCAGCAGATGGTGTAATGGTTAGGTCGTTGGACTCCCATGTAGTTGACTGCAGTTTGAGTCCCAGACCCAATGGCTTAAAACTCATGCTGGGTGCATGTGCGTGCATGCCCAAAATCCTGGGAGGAAAATGGAAGAGAAGGGATTGTAGTGAGGCCATACCCCCTGGGGATTGATTTCTCATTTTCTGTCTCTCTGGTGAGTGCACGTGCCCGATAGCAAAAAATCTCTCTTAAAAAGAGAGAGAGAGAGAGAGAGAGAGAGAAAGAAAGCAGAGGTAGGGGTCGACTAAGACATGGTGGTTAAGGCAGGTTGGATCCCAAATGGCTGACTGTATGGTTCAAGTCCTGGATCCAGAAGGTTAAAAAAACATGCAGGGTGCATGTGTGTGTGTTCCCAAAATCCTGAGAAGAAAATGGAGAAGGGATGGCAGCTTGACCATCCCCCACGGGGAATTTTTTTTCTTGTCTTCCTCCCACCTCTGTCACTCTTCAGTGAGCACATGCTCCCTTCGGCAAATTAGAAAGAAGGAATGAAAGAAGAGAAGGAGGAAGAAAGGTAGGAGGGAAAGAAGGTAGGAAGGAAGAAGAGAGAGGCAGACAGAGAGAGGAAGAAAGAGAAAAAAAGAAAATGGAAGTTACATCGCCATCTGGGAAGGGCTAGAACGAGGAACTCAACCCAGGCAGCCTGGCTCCAGTGCCTGGCCCATTTCTAACTTGCTGTTTTATTAAGCAATTCCATATGGTGTTCAGATCATGTGCTGCAAAACTCCAGATGACTGGCCAGTGGTAATGCAACTGAACCCACGTGGGAAGGTCCTGGGTTCACATCCCACAACACCCTCAGCATGCTGGGCAATTGCCTGAGTTCCAGGCCTGCTAAGACTGAGGGTGGATCTTGGTGTGAGGACTCTGCTGGGGATGTCCATCTCTCTGTCCCTTTCTCCCAGAAGAAACCATTCTTTTTTAAACCCAGGCAATGATACTATCCCCCTCCGACACATTATTTGCCTTTCACCACCACTTCCCAGCAGATGGCAGTAATGAGCCATGTTCCAAGGTCTCCTTTACTTGGTTTTCTGACAGATGGCGTAGGGAGGGAGCATCTATTTCTAATTCTCCCACAGGGCCTATGAACTAACAGCGGCTCTTCATAATACACACATGCAAGTCTAGGTCATGTCTGTTCAATACACACCTGGTAGGTGTATATTTAGAAGAAAGTGCCTTCAGGATGTACGTTGGATATGATGCCACAGCTGCATTAGAGGACTCGGCCTTATCTTTCTGATCCTGGATGTATCTCTATACTTGGATGAGCCTAGGGGACAAGAGGCCTCTGTTTTCACAACAAAGGATGATGACCAGGCTAAGAGTAGGTAAGGGGCTCCTAGCAGGTAGGACAAGAAATGAAAGGCCAGACACAATCACGGGTTCCCTAATAAAATTCACTTTCTTCTTCTTTTTTATTTTTTATTATTTTATTTTTTTTGCCATAGGGCATTTGCGCTCACTGGAGAGAGAGACAGAGACACAGAGAGAGAGAGAAAGTGAAAAATCACCCACCACGAAGGATGGCCATGTTATAATCCCTTCCCCATTCTCTCAGGATTTGGGGTATGCATGCACACGTGCCTGGTGTGTTTTTTCAGGCTGCTGGCTCCAAAATTCAAATCATGGCCATGTGGGGTCAGGCACCTTAGCCACCACACCACTTACTGGCCCTAAAGTTCACATTTATATATATATAGAATCCAGCACCCCAACCACCATGTCACCTGCTGCTCCCTAAAGTTCATATTTTAATGGCATTACTTAGAGTAATTAATTTTAAAACACTGTTATTACTGAAATTCCAGTGAGAAAAATAATTTTACTATTGTTTATTTGATATCCTTGTGTCATTAAACTACCTATACCAGACAAGTTTAATTCTTTTTTGGGACCAGCAGTTGGCGTAATGGCTATGTCGCTGGACTCCCATGTAATCCACCGCAGTTCGAGTCCCAGACCCGGTGGCTTAAAACTCACACTGGGTGTGTGTGCATGCATGCCCAAGATCCCGAGAGGAGAATGGAGGAGAAGGGATTGTGGCGTGGCCATCCCCCCTG